AGTGTTCCCTGATCCAGTAGAAGATGGGCTGCCTTGCTGGGCCTGCAAAAGAAAGTTAGTGTATGGTTATAAGCTCCTCAGCATGATCACCAGGGCCCATGCAGGTACACTTCACATGGGAGGGGCAGCCTGGCCTGGGTACCATACTTTCATAGTTTAAGAATGCTCTAGAGATTTAGTTCATTAAAACAAGAGTTAGGGTTTTTTTTTCAGGAAGTCTGGTCCAACCTGCTAAAAGACAAAGCTTTTAAAAGCCTAGTGTAATTCATGTCAGCTGAGATTAAGCCAGGCCAAAACAAACACTTCTCACAGCAGGACTGCACTTCATTCTTTTGCTTTTTCACCTCTATCAGATTAGCCTCTCAGATGCTATTATTTTGATCTACACAAGATTTTGAGTTGTTAACTTAAAACTCAGTTCATTTCACTAAAGAAAACAAGCAAAGCCTGAGACCTAGAACTCTTCACGAGGAGGATGAACTTACCAGAAGATGGTTGGTCATCAATAAACCAGGCTGCGCTTAACTACTGTCTTTGAGCAGAAAACCTTCAAAATTCCCCCATCCCTGGACTAGAAACATCCCCTTGGGATTCCAATCTTTCCAGAGCTGCTCACCGAGACAAAAGTAAAACAGAGGCCACCTCCCCTCTGTGCCAGCTGCTCATTCTCTAGCCGCTGCTTCGCCAGCATCACCGACATCAGGGTTGGCAGAGCAGAGTGTTCCTCCTGTGGGTCCTTTGCGCTGCCGCCGTCTACCCCGTACAGCGGCTGCTCCCCTCGCCGCTGTAACACAGTCAAAACAAATACAATCAACCTCTTTCTGTTTGGTTTTTAGATTTAAAAAAATAAAAAAGAAAGCAAAAAAAAGAAAAGCCATTCTCTTGGCTCTGCCAAAACTGTTGTCAGCGAAGCAGCAGCTGAGGAACGGGCAGGCAGCACGGTGAGGATCTGAGAACTCAAAATGGGACTCCTGGGATGATGGTTCTGGTGGTAACACATCAAGAAGGAGATGAAGTGGGAAAAAAATAACAAATGAACACACAGGATAGAATTCCTTGTCAGGTAATGCACCCCCTTCCTTTGCAAATATATGTGTTTTAGAGCCAGTGGGGCAAAACAGGCCGTAGATGCAAAAATCTTAGTCCATTGTGAGTTTGGTCAATGGTTTCAAAATTTGACTATTTGATGTTTTTTAAGGACTCATCTCAAACCAGCTGATGTCACAACACACTCATTATTCTACTGAAGTAAACTGAGTCAGTACTGCTAAATGTCAACAACCCAACCATCTCTATGACCTCAGTAACCTCATTTCTGTCATTACAGCTGGGGCCAATTTCCTGCAAGATATGCAAAGTGCTAATGTGTTTCCAAAATCCTGGAGAGATGCATTGCATCTCAAAGGCCAGCTCCTTTCTCCTGCACTAGACTCATTTTCAAACTGTGATACAGGAATTGGGTGCAGTAAGAACAAGAATCATCTGAGCTACATTGATTACAACACTCAGGCTGTCATTGCCCTGGCTTTAAAAGCCAGCCCATCAATGCTAAAAGTTGGCAGTCTGGGTAATAATCATCTAAGTTCTTCCAGGCTGTAATTCTGGGCCAGGCAGATGCCACATAGAAAGTGAACAGTCAGGTCAGGCTTCAGTTTTTCTTAAAAACCTAAATTGCAACCTAAAGCTTATTTTCTGGCTAACTCCCAATGTCAAGAGTGTGCTCTCCTCTCCAGAAGAGTGCTTGTATATGAGAGTGACCTTGCAAAAGTCTGAAGACCTGCAGATCATTCTTCTGATCAAAGGAGAAGGCAGGCAATTCAAGAGGTTTGAAGACAAGACCTAAGATCCTGAAGCCATTACAATTCCTCCACAAGTTCTGATTGCAGAAAATTCCAGTACAGTAGAGATTAACTCACATGTTTGGAGGTTTGACTCACAGTGAAGGACATTTTAACACTGCTCTCCTCCTGACCATACTGTAAGGGTAAGGTCCTCAATCTGCTCCCATTTTCACTCATGTTGCCATTTTTTGGGGCTTAGTTCAAACCATTCATACTCAGATTTTAAGAGGCCAAATCTTGCAAATGCACTTCATAGTTTGATGTGAGTAAATGAACATTACAGGTTGAGGTGCAAGAGTAAAGACCAGAAAATAAGAAACACAAGGAGCTGTGTAGAGGAGACAGATAAACTGGCCTGGCTGAAACTAACTTCAGTCTTCACCTCATGAGAAATACTCTGTTCAAACCTTTATCCACTCAACACATACAAGTGTAGAAGAAAACTAAAGAATCAACTTACAAACACATGTAGGGCTCCTCATCTGCTGGAATAAACTGTCCCTAACACATCACACATCTGCAACATTCAGAGCCTGCACTTCTTTCATCAACTTCTCTTTAAAGATGTGCATTAGTAAATTAATATAAGAGGAGGAAGGGCTCTTCAATTAAACATGTATTTTTTTAACCCTTTGTAAAGATTAAAAAAATCATCTAGAACAATATCCGACCTTCTCCCTTAAAGCAGCACCAAAAGCTTTGAAAATCTTGCAACACATGGAATTCTGAGCAGAGCACTCGTGTTGGGATTTAGTTCAGTACACATTCATGACTGTGCAAAGGTCTCTGCAGAATAATGTCATCAGTAAAGACTCTGCATTTGGTTTTTGGCATGCTAACCTTTCCCATAATGCTCCACACTTTTGTGACACTCAACAAGTACTGAAAATTTTTAAAGAGGGGCCCAGGCCATGTTAAAAACTAGAGATTGGACACTAGAGTCTCTGAATATTGCTTTGCTAGTTGAAATAAACCCTTTAGCTGGTCTTTGCTAAAATAGCCTAAAAATACTGGTTATTTCTTCACGTTCAGATCTTGCAGAAATGCTGTGACAGCAAAATGTAACAAAAAAAGGCAACAGATGTGCACGTATACACACTTCCTTGCAAGCTTTTGCTTGCTAATGCTCCTTACAAATCACATGCATGTAAACAGAAGCAAAAGACCTTCCCAATAGAATTATGGTATGCATGTGTTCCAGCATTCCCAAAGGGTTCAATCAAGACTGGAATATCATTGAACTGGTGCTATACAAACACACAACACGCTCCCAGCTGGATGCAGAAGATCCTGAGCTACAACGGAATACATGACGGTTAATGCTGGTTCCATCTTTTATGAAAAGCAGTGATCTACCTGCAAGCACACAGCATGCCAGCAACACTCATCTTGCATGCTCTAATCTCAGGTATTTGTATCAGTTACAACTGGACCAGTCACTGTTACAAGGTCCAAGACACTGGCTTGGCTGACAGAAATTCTTGGATATGAGGGTGGTGAGACCCTGGAACAGGTTGCCCAGGGAAGCTGTGGCTGCCCCATCCCTGGCAGTGTTGAAGGGCAGGTTGGATGGGGCTTGGAGCAACCTGGGCTGGTGGGAAGTGTCCCTGCCAAAGCAGAGGGGTTGGATCTAGGTGATACTTAATGTCCATTCCAACCCAAACCATTCCATGACTCTATGCTCCTAACCCTGCTGCTGATTTTAAGACACAGAACTGAACAGAGAATAAGCCAAATCACTCAACAACAGACACTTCTTTCCTGTTCAGTAACTTTTATTACCTGCCTGAAGCATGGCCACCAACCTAAAAGCCACCAGCTCTGTCCCCAGGGAGAACACTCACCGGCAAGGGGTTGGACAGGGAATGCTGCGGTGACGACCTGGCCACAGGAGGCACACTTCTCCCGGGACTGGTTCCTGGGCCGCTCCCCCCAGCAAACTGGCCAAAGGAACAGATCTGATCAGCAGCAACTCCACAGAAGTATTCCATTCAAGCAAATTTAACACATGAACCTTAAAAGTTAAGCCTTACAAGCTCTAGGGACTCATTTAAAGGAGGATAACCCTAAAATTTCACGCGCTGTTTTCAAAAACAACAGCAACAGTCAAGTACTTGAGTCACACGTGCACTGAGCACATTTCTCACTTGAACACACAAAAATATAAACCTGCACACTTGGTTATAGCTCAAGCATTTACAAGATAGAATTAGGAAGATAACTCCCTATGAGATGTGACCAACTGTGCACCACAAAAGTGGTAAGAGATGTACAACTTCTGCTGACACATCTATGCCTGTCCCTGGTACAGACAGGACATGTCACAGCAGCTGATCTAGTTGGTACAGAAATCTGTGTGTTCCTGCACCAGTGTACCACACTTATAAAAAAACTTTACCCAGGAAAAAAAGTGTTAAGAAGCACTCCTGACTCCAAGTCACTCAGTAAAATAAAGAATAAAATAAAAAGCCAGAGCTCTGCACTGTGCAGACCTAGAAAAGCTTTGGAGATTTTGCAATGAAAAGAATATTGATTTTCAGAATATCCATCCATGTTCTGGGGAGGAGTCTCCATCTCCTGTGTGGTGCCAGCCTTCCAAGGCAGGCTTTTCTCAAGAGGGAACCCTGTAAACAACTTCCTACTCAAATCAGCAGGACTTTGCTGATCATCTGAGATCCAGGTTCCAATGGAAATCAACTTCCAACGACACTCGTGCCTGCTCTTTTAAAAAACTGCTTTATCAGCTGCTCAAGAAATGCTAAAACACAACTGCCAAAAATCTCATACCCTCTCCCTAATCAGATTTGAGTATCAGGTTAATATCATCAATCAGTGGCTCCCAGCTATTATCTAATACAATGGATCACGTAACAGAAATTACATCAATTCCATCTACAGATTTGGCATCGTTTGAATTCAAGCAGATTTCTCAAACAATGTAAAGATGCTTACCTCAAAATAATCACTAATTTTATGTCCTCTAGGAGTGCCTTTTCCTAAAAGAGGAAAACAAAGGATAAAAAGAAAAGTTGGTATTTTAAAGCACAGAAGTTATGATGCCCTTTCAGAAAAATTACCCCCGTATTTTGACACTGCTTTCACAGTAGGAAGGTGCAACACTTGGCACAACAAAAGCTTCTGCACAACAAAAGACTGCCCCAGGCTCCCAGCTCTGTGCTGTTGTTGGGAGGGTTTACAGTTGACAATTCAATTAACTCTCAATTCCAAACATGTCAAATCCAATCAAACAGCATTTGCACTTGCTAAAGTACTTAGGAAACACTAAGTCACTGAAAGTTGCATAGGTTCTTCAAAATTTCCTTCAAGATAAGGACAAGGGGTACTTTTACTACTTCACCTTCAGGTAAATTACTGCTTATTAGATCTCTCACAAGCATTCCTCTAAGTTAAAGAGATAATTAGTGATGGCTTATACCAGCTCATTAAAACTTAGCCCTTTTCTCTTATTATAAAATTATCAAAGCAGTTCTGTCAACACAATCCCTGTTACTTTCTTGTTGAAGAATAAAAGAAACAGAAATCTGTCCCTATGCCCATTTGCTAGAAAATCTGAACTTGGACTTGAATAGGCTGGGTTTTTCTTAGTACTCTGAGAGTGCTGCCTGCTTTATACTTGAGCACAGTTTGTTCTCTATTTGTTATGGGGAGAACTTACTCTACCGAGTCAGGCATAGGCCTCAAAAAGCAAGGAAGAGAGTGCAGCCTGTATTTTGGAGTCTGGCTGCTGCATATGCAGTGATGTGAGAGCAAAACAACACTTAGGAGAAACCATGTTAAGGCTTTGGGCAGTTTGTCCCATAAAAATGCAAGAGTTTGTGCAAATAAGCAGAAGATGAGTATTTTCCTGCCAGTGAGGATAACAAAGCTCCCAGAAGAGAACTACACCATCATGGAGGAGTTTATAACAAGCTGCCTGACACACCCTTGAGAAGAGCCATTAGTTTCCTAGGACACTGACTGTGCAAAACGTGCACAAATTATCAACCCTTCAGAAATCCTGCAGGAGGGTGAGAGGGAATTACCTTGACTGGTCTCATATGCTTCTGCTTTCCTTTTTCTATTCCGCTGGTCATTCTGCTTTTTCTCAGGAGTCTGTTAAACAATACTTCAAAATTAACATTTCTGCAGTTATTCCAAGATTTAAAGAAAATGCCAAAACACAATCAGCTGCTCCAAGTCCTCGGTGGCCATTTCACTTCTCTGGTACATGTTTCTAGTGCTGGTACTTAAAGAAACAACTGCTCTCAAATAGCTGCTACCTTCTGATAAATGTGCTGCTGAAGGGAGAGAACATGGTTAGCAATGAAGTGCATCTTTTTTTTTCCTATTTCAGCTGTCCAGTGGCTACTCACAGTTTACCAGGACAATTCATTTGCCTGCAGCTAATGCTTCTCCCCAAAGCCCTTTGCAGACAGCTACAAGAGCTACTGGTGCTCAGCTGCAACCTCACACAAAACAAGGCAGAGCTGCCCAAGATGGCAGCCAGAAGAAAACTGCCACAGATGCAGCAATTCCCCTGGACTTTGGTTTGCTCCTCCTCTGCTCTCACTGTAGTCCAGGGCTGGCTGCATCTGACATCTCTGTGAGCAACCAGAGACCTGAGTGGCAGCCTGGCAGTGGGCAGTGATATATTTCTGCACAGGCACAATATAGAGCACAGGGGGAGGCCTGGAGGCTCCAACAGTGTCAGGCTGATCTCTCTGTACAAGATTAGCAAGCCTAGAGAGGAGGAGACCCTGGCACTGTGCTCTCCCTGTCACCAGGGTCACTGATGTGGCCAAACCTGCTGAAAACATTAGGAAGCAGTTTACTGAGGTTGCCAGAAAGAAAGATACCTTGTCATTTCCATCACTGTCAGTTTAAAAACATCCCTTATCCCAAGGGGTCCCAAATAATATTCAATCTATATGCTTTACAATCACTGCAGCCACTAAACTGTAGCCTGGGGGCAGAAAGAAAACCACAGTGTGGAAAACACAACTCTGGGGGAGGGAAAGTCATGGCCAGAAGGTTTGTGGTAAACCTAAGTTCCGTGCTCTTTGGAAACCAAAGTCCAAAGTACCCTGTTGAAAGCTCTGTCAAAAGACTTGCACACAGGAAGCACAGAAATCAATCCACCTCCTTTAATAGGATAGAAAGGATAAAGCTGACACAGCTAGAACCTAAACCTGGCTGTGTCCCCAGTGGATGCTGGACATCTACAGTCCCATGTTACCAGTCACTGCCAAGTTGCTGTTTTGGTAAGAAGATGGAGGGGATGTCAAGACACGTTTGTGTCTGCAAAGTACTTTTTAGAATGAGGGGACTGAAAACTCTGGTAACTATCTACAGACTTGCTCCTGTATGTGCACAAGTCAGTGACATTGTCTCCTCAGTGCAGAGTGAGGAGCAACTCCTGAGCAGCGTTGGTGGGACTGTATCACCACAGGCTCCTTGGAGCTGTAACCATATTAATGAGATTCAGTTTGTTTTTCCATTCAAGTACTTACATAACAAAAACTACACACAGCATTATCTGTTACAGACTGAAATAGCAAGGAATGGTAGATTTGATTAGGTCAGCTTGGTCAATTTAACTCACGCCACAGAAGTTCAGTAAAAAAACTAAGTAAAATAAGGAATACTCAGTTTTCCACTATGAACTACTTACTTGTATGGAGGTAAAAATACTGCATTTTGGGAAAATTTAGCTTCACCAGATACCTCCCACCAGCACTGCCATATAATAGAGTTAAAGATGATCCAGAATTTACCTGATAACCATGTGGGAAGTTATTTAAATGCAAACGAAAATTGAAATTGCAGATTTTGCTTTATTAAGGTGGAATTTTAAAGTAAAAATACAACTCTCAAATAAATGTTGCTGCTTTAGCAAGTGTTTTGAAATAGTTAATCCTAAAGCAGTGAGATTAAAAAGGGATAAAGCATCAATGTTCACCTCCCCACACTTCCACAGAGCGATTCATAACACGCTCTGCTTTGTACAGGCTTCTGCAAAGTCACATCTCTGACAGGTAAGGCAAGCTGTTCCATTCATGCTCTCTGGCTTTTGATTTGGCCAAAACTGTATCCAAAAAATCCCAGCAAACAAATCACAATGCAGCTGAAAACAATTTCACAAGCTGAGCTTTACAAATGCTGTGTTTTCAGGGTAAAATCTGCCTGTCACGGTGGGAAGCCCCAAGGAGTGTTTCACAGCAGGTCTGAAGACTCTAGGGTTAAGATTTAGACTAAACACTTCCCCTGGTCCCTTTCACACCCCAAACAAAGAGCACTGTCACTCACTCTCACACAATTCCTTCTATGTTTTGAGTTGAATCATGTCCACCTTAAGCCAGATTATCACGAGGATTTGTGCTTGCTTACCTCCAATTCCTTATCACTCAGAGAACCCACGCTGCACAAGCTCTGGTTGGAAGACTCACTATTTAATGGACCCTAGTGAAAAATAAGCAAAGACTGTTAGAAACAACTTCCATGCAAGGCAGATAAGCCCTTATCAAACATTGCATCTCTGGGCTAACTACCCAGGCACATGATGGGGCACTAAACACCTTCCAGTGTGGTTTGGAGCAAGATGGGAGTTGGGCTGCCTGTTGGACAGTCCTTGCTCAGTGTCCTGATCCAGCCTTTGCAAGGATATTTCTGTATCAATTTTAATCAATTCTCTATCAATTATTGAACCACCTCCACAAAACAGCCAATTCATCCAAGTCTTAAGATGTTTGATAAACATAACTTGTGATTTGTTGAGCAGTAGTAGCTCCAAGCTCAGCTCTTCAGGCAAGCATCTGCTTGACCCTGGACTAACAATTCAGAGGCATCTCCCATCTGGCAAGGCAGCTATTACTGTAACCAGATGCTAGCAGTACTACTGATTTTTTTCTTCAAATGCATCATTTTTATGCTTTTTTAACACTGAGAAGTGAACAAGTTGTGGTAACAGCAGTAAAACTGGCACCAAGGAAACAATCTTTCCCACTGCGCTATTTTACAGACCCAAGGCTGACCAGGCTAAAGCACGGACTCAAGAGGCTGGGATAGATCTCCCAAAATATTATCCAGGAACCCACAAGAGTCTGCCTGCATCTTTGCAGGCTCTACTGGATACACAGCTGCATTTTTATATATCCAAGCTTTTTTGAAAATAATTTTCTCAACTCTGTATCAAAACTAGTTTTAAATGAAAAGAAAAGTGAATCATGCCAAGTCACTGTGTTTTAGCCTAGTGTTCTGACACAAAAGTATCCTCCCACAGATCTAACTTAAGAAATCTAGATAAATTTGACAAAGATATAAAAACAAGATTCACAATTACTGATGGAATGTATTAACAGGAAGAATGAAATGGTAAAGCCACCTCTCTCCATTAATAACTTGTGAATATCTTCTCCCAAAGATTCATTCTATTTTAGCATTCAATTTTTGCAGTAACCACTTCCCACCAACCAACCTTTCCTCAAGGCAAAGCCACTTCTTACTATATACTTGAGCAGAAGACCTATGGGAGGGGTTGGGGAGAAGCCTTGGGGAGAAGATTAATCCCACAGCAGACTACTTTTGAGAGTAGCAGTTCTTCCCTGCCCATTTATTAGGCAAACATCACCATCAAATTAAACCTGTGACACAACCTGGCCATTACTAACCCTAATTTCCAAGCAGGCATCCACAGAAAGTAAAAGTTCTGTTCACCTGTATTTCACTGGGCATGTTATTTACAAACATGTTCCTCTTAAAAGGACAGGCTTAGGCCCTTCAACAAAAGAAAAAACACCCCAAACCATGATACTTGGAACAGCTCAAGAAGCTACACATTTAAGATTCCCTCTTAGAAGCAAATTTGCAGGTGGTATTTAAGCCATACCATTACTTCTTTAACTCACCACACAAACAGCACAAGACTAGGAAGATATTTTACCTCATCTCTTCAGTAACACAAAAGCTTAAAACGCAGTTGCTTTTTAAACACAGCACCAAGCTCCCCACCCCACCATCACAAATCATCTAGGTACAACTCTTGGTGATGTGAGGGACTTATTCCTTGGCCAACACAACCGAACAGAAGGGCCAACAGTAACCTGAGCTGCATCCACATGAAGGCCTCATGGATTAAAAAAAAAAGTGTCTTATGGCAAGTGGCAGCAGACAATTAATCTTTTCACCCATGTAAACAGCTTGTTTATACACTGCACAAATGCTGTCCTCTAAAATCCTTTGCTTCCTCTCAGGAACTCAAACCCCAGCAGCACGTTCAAGACATCAACCTTCTGTGGAAGTGTGATATAACTTTATTAGGTGCAGGAGCATCTCAACAAAAGAGCATTTGCTGGCCTCAGATGGACAGGTTGGGGCTCTGACATGAATAAGATGAAAGTGAAAGTTGTTGCCATATTTGCTTACATGTCCCTGCCTCCATTTTGCACATGGATAGCAAATGACAGGAGCAGTTACTCCCAAAATGCCACATCTGAGCTTTTCAGGAACACTGTAGTTGGAAGGGTGAGGCAATGGCTCAGGAAGGACCAATGCTTCAGCAATGACCTGTACTCCAGGGTAACTTGGAGAAATAAACTGGTGAAACCATCTGTGGTTAGAAATGACCCTAAAATTCTTTCAGAAATACAAGACCATACTCTCCAGTACAAAAGATCCACTCAGTTTGCATCTGAATGTAAAGTTCTGGAATGCAAACAGCTGGAAAAAAATGTCTAAAACAAAATCCACAGTTTTTCTTGCTTCCAGTACCACAACTACCTGTACCAACTATTCCATGCAGGAAATGTACAGCTCCAGCAGTTGGAATCAAACCCATTTGTGCAGCAACAAATGATCAGTTCTTATCACTGACTCCTGAACAGCAAAAAGCCTTTCCCTTTACTTTAAAAGTTCCTCTAGAAACTACACTGACAAAAAACATAAAATGTAACTCAATGCAGTAGTAGAAAGGGTGAAAGGGAACTAACTACTTAGTGATGGAAGTAGAAAAGAACAGCCTGGTGGATGTCTGTAAGTATCTAACCATTGTCACATGCACTGATATTGTGAACAATCAAGCAGAATTCATTTTTGTAGACAAGTTTTGACCCATTTCCACTTCATGAGCTTTCTCCTCTCTTGATGATCTTCTAAAGGGCCTTTCACTGACACTTCCCTTGTAGTAAAGGATTAGGCCTGTCTGACAGGCAAGGAGCTGAAGCATCTTGTTCATGTCACAGTTGGCAAAAAAGTCTTGTTTCCAGGTATTCCAACTATGGAAACACAAATTGCCCTTTAGAACGTGCTGTACTCGAAGCCAGAAAGATGCACTGCCTGGATGTTTAGGAATGTGGCTAGTCCTCAGCTGCACCTCTTCTCACACAGTTATGCCAGAGAAATAAAAAGCAAGTTTTCCTGATCGTCCAGCTGGATATCCTGTTCCACACATAACCTCATGTTATCAACTGCTTAGAGCAACAGGTTTAGACAATGGATATAAGAAACCAAACATTTCCCCCTCGATTGTCAGGGAGTGTATATAAAAACCCCTTCAAATTTATGTTTTATCATTCCTTGCTGTTCACATTTAACCCAGCAACTGACACTGGATAAATGTTAATTTGGCATACCATTATAAGTGGTCATGACACAAAAGGAATTAAAGAGACAAACCTGAATTTTGGGGCAAAAAAACAAGTAAGCAATGGGAACGAAAACTAACATGAGAATATTGCTGGGCAAGTAGCAGTGGGGAATAATAAACTAGCAATAGTTTACACTGGAAGGGCTTATAAATTTTGCTTCTGAAGGAGTCATCTGCATTGGCATCTGGCTCTTCTAGCACAGACTACTTGGGGATAATACAGCACTTCTCTGATATCACTTCCAGCCCACTCATTCACTGTACCCTGTCAAGAGAATCGGTGATGGGGCTCAGCAAAAATTCAAAATACGTGGGTCATCTGAAACAAGCTAATAGTTTCTATAGTGTTTACCCAAATGACAAGCACAAGAACAGCACACACTTCCTCCTCCGCAAGGAATTTCATTCTGAGATAAGCTGGCATGCTCTTTTCCCTTGTGATTCACCTCTCAACTGCTGCTTCTAAGTCCCTGACCTACCTATGCACAACAAAACCTCCATGTTGAGAAGTGGATGCGACAGGAGCAGGCGCTTTCAAGACTCCTACTCCAAGGCAAGAATTTAAAATCTGTCCACTCACACAAGCTGGTTAGTCATCTCTCCCCCTGCAAGAGCCCTGAAAAGGCCACAAACAAGGCACAATGGCTGAATTTTCAATAGAAACAACCTGGCCTGATAATAGCTCCTATTGGATCTCCCATAACAAAGCCAGCCTGACTCAGCCAGCCCTCACCTAGCTCCTCTTCAAGCATCTCCACTGCCTCACATGACTCGTGCAGTTCTCATCCTCTTCAAGCTAAAATGATCCCTCAGGCCTGTCCACAACTCATATGTTGGGCAGGCTCCATTTTGTGCTCTGCAACTCCAGCTCTAGGAACCCAGGCTGCCTAGCCAGAGTCTCCAGTGTGGACTTACAGCAACATGCACTGTAAAACTCTCTTGCTAACTCCATGGCAGAGACACGCTTCATTACCTCGAGCCAAGGTAACCTGAGTTCTTCTGAATTCTGTAGCAAACCAAGAGATTTCAAAGGGAAAAAGTCAATCTTTAGTTCCACTAAAAAGTTAGTGCTGACTCCACAAAGGTTTACACCAAAGTGAAATGGTTGGATGGTTTTACAGTTGCTCTGGCCCAGTGCTATAGTATGAGACAGGTTTAATTAACATACTCTTGTTTCAAGCCTCATGTAAGTATGAGAATTAAACCCTGCTTCTTAATTGGGCTTTTAGAAAAGCTCACTATTGTAGCCCATCATGAAACCCCCAATCACCTGATCTTTCTGCTGTGAGAAGCTCATCTGCTATCAGAAGTTCACAGGTAACCTCCAGTTGGGTAAGGAGATTTGAAACAGCATTTTCTTGGTTTGCATTAAGGCTCAAGAGTCTCCTCAGGATGAAAAAAATAGTTATTTTTACTTTCCTGACAGCAAACTGGACAGAAGGGTGATGCAACTCACCCTAACCCTCAGTGCATGGACAGAAATAGAAACAAGATCTGACAAATCTATCTGGGCTCCAGTAGCCACACAACACATTTGTCATGGTGCACATGGAAGCATCCAAACAGTTTTCAAGCATCTGGCATAAAGTCCTGGAGCATTCTGTAGTAGCTGATAAATTTCACTCTAAGTTTCAAAACTCTTACTAACTAGTTCTTCTAGTGACACGTGACACCTGTTAAGGACCATCACCATGCAGCACCACCTCCCTCCAGTGAAGACATGATTATTCTCAAACACTAATTTAATTTGCTAACATTGCTGCTAAAAATGCTGCAAAGTGGACCACAACTGCTACTGAACTGCTAAGAGTGCCAGAGAAAGGGTAAACACCAAAATAATAGAAGTAAAAGCTGTTCTTTTTTATGAGCAATTCTCTTTCTGGAGGCAGATTTTCTGCAGCACAAGTGACACGTTAGGTTATTTTAATTTCCACCTTTAGGCTGCCTCAAAGAGGCATCTCACCATGAGCGTGGTGGGACACTGAACAGGCTGCCCAGAGAAGCTGTGGCTGCTCCTCCATCCCTGGCAGTGTTGAAGGGCAGGTTGGATGGGGCTTGGAGCAACCTGGACTGGTGGGAGGTGTCCCTGCCCATGCAGGGGGTGGGACTGGATGATCTTTAAGGTCCCTTCCAACCTTCTATAAAAGGGGAGGAAAGGCAGCAGTACCTGCCCCCAAGACTTCTTCAACTCTAGCACAGTCATCTGGATCTGCAAGATCACAACAGAGGGTTCATCTCTCTAGAAATACTTCAGCCTTTTTAGTTAGGTGTAATAAAGTGGCACACACAACTTTTAAAATCTTTTTAAGATCAAGTGTGTAGAGAATACATGTGCTGCTGTGATGACCCACCCTGGTTAAGCGTGAGGGAAACCATGTGCAAACAGAGATTCAAACACCACAATTACCTACTCCAACTCTTATCTGGTAAAAGTCTGTGGAATTGACACAAATCCTTCAGAGTTAACTCGCCTGACATCTTAAAGCCAGCACCCAGACTGGGGGAAGGGAGGCAGAAGGTGAGAACAGACCAAATTAAACAATGTAGGCTAGAGAGACAAAATGCATTTTGCTTTCAGTACCTACTGAGCCAAAGGAAATGTCTGAGCTGGCCAGTCAGAATAATGCCCGAGTGAAATACTTACACTTCCCCTAATAAGTAAACATAAATGAGAACTAAATAAGCAGGAATTCTGGTAGGTGTCAGATAGTTGTGTGTTAATTCAAGAGCTTGCTTTGCAAATTTGTGGAAGAATGACACTTTACCATATGGCAAGAAAAGACATCTAAACATCACCGACTTTTTGAAGCTATCCAGTGACCTGGATGAACCACAAGAGTTTAACAGTTGCCTAGAAACCTTCCTTGCTCATAGATTTGATTCCACATATTAACTCCAAGCTTCTAGAGAATTATATTCTCCAGCTACTAAGTGAGATAATTCATCACAGACTTGCAACAGAATTTGGAGGCATTTGGGACTGCAAATGACCTCGGTCATTGGGTTGTGCCTTCAGCTACCACAGGAGGTGACAGCACACAGCTGTTTCCCAAACAGTTTAGGATTTCTGTCCTCTACTACTGTTACTGGAAAGCTCTTCCAGAATCCCATGACTCTGATGGCTAGAAGCTTTTTTCTAGTTTCAAGCTGAAACATTTATTCTAGATCAGAGTAATCTTATCCACTCTCAGAAACATGTAGAGTTGTTCTTGCAGACATGCAGGGTCGTGGCCTTTGAAGCTGCAGTTGTATTACAGATGCAAACTAGTGCATTAGTTTTACACAGGTCCAAAATATAGCCTGGATTTCTAAACATGAAGGAAACCTATTCAAACACACCAAGAGATACACCCAGAGGAAGGCAGGAAGCTCAGTTACAACTGCCTGTGGCCTTCACCCAATAGGAGAGCATCTCAGCTGACATTTCTTCCTTTTATGCAATAATCAGCACCAGAATACCTTCTATCCCAGGAGGATGTGCCAGTCCCCGTCCCACTAGATGGCACTAACCTACCCTAAGGAGCCTTCCTTCAACATTTCATTGGAGAGCTAAAAAATTCTCAATTGAATCAGACAAATTGTATCCCAGCTTTCCCAATATATTCCCTTGAAGACAGTGACCTACCAATGCCAGTGCGGAGCATGACGGACGGAGGCTTGGGGGGGTAGGGAGGGAATTTGAAGCACCAACCTGGGAGGGAATGTAGTAGCTGAGATTAATATTGCAACCAAGGTTTGCTGCAACATAGTAGAGTCATGCTAATTCATATCAACGGTTGGCTGATCTACTGCAAATTAGCAAGTATGCAAGTCAATCAATAGATAATGTCTGAAAGAAGTGTAAGGCACTGAACAGTTTACTGACTAGCACAAAGGAAAACACTACACTGCACAACAACAGGTAAAAGTGAAACTCAAGTGACAGAAGAGCTCTGCTGAAAGTGAAGCCTCCAAGAAATGAGGCTTTTTTTTTGGTGCTTGGATATGCTTTGGAAATAAAACATGAGTTTTCAACACCCACCCTACAGCGAAAGGGCATGTGCTTTCTGCTACAAACATATTAAAAACACAATTAAGACATGCTTCCCAGTATCTTTTAAAGGTTATTCCTTTAAAAGGAATAGTTCCCAACATTCCTTGTGAGCACTGAGGATGTTGGCACTGTTTTAAAGCAACAGCAGTGCCTACACATCTAAGTCTTTGCTGTTCTAGGAAGTTGTTCTGTTTTATCTCTACTGGTAGAGCTCAAGATGTTGCAGTGACACACGTGGGGAGAAGAGGTAAGAACCAGATGAAAAAGCACATTAAAAGTTGTGGTGTTGTATAAAACAAGTCTTTCAAGATTGTAAATACATTGTGCTAAAGCCTTAAGATTTAAAAAAGTCTTAAGAGTGGGGGAAAAGATAAAAAAAAAAACAACCACTCTTACTTCAGTAACTTAAATTGTTACCTCTTAACAACAACAACTAACCTTCCTGACTACACTGCTTCTCAGCTCAACGTTTTACTTACTCAACTTCCCTTCCAGGACTTAACCTTGTTTGAGTCCTGATTGAAGTACAGATCAGAAGGAACAGTATGAACTCAAACAAAGCCCTTTTTCAAGTTCTGCATCACTTTGAATTCTTCTCAGAAATATGGCATGTGCAGAGCTTCCTCCCTAAATAATTCTAAGAGGTTTCTGAAAGTGATATAGCAATGATGGGCTGTTTTACCATCTACCCTGATGTTGCCCAAAACTCCCTATCTTCTTCAAAAGTGAACTCCTTATCACTGACCTAGTTTAAGATGAGTTCTGCCACCATTTCATTGCTCAGAGACACCACTAATTAACACTACCAACAACATCTGGAGAGTTAAGAGTTTCATGCTAGTGTATCAAGCAACCACACATGTTGTTATTTAGGTGCCTCTCTCCTGAAAAGCAGCTACTGAACAGTTATTAAGTTGTGTGTGAGGACAAAGATGGGATTTTACTAGCAGGTTGTGGATCACGGATACAGGAGAGCTTACCTGCAAATAACTTTGTGTGTGTGTTCTATGGCACCGAGTAGACAATTTTAGCAGGTTGCACCCACAAGAACCGACCAAATTCCTGAATATATTAAGGCTGGTTACATGTTGTATCAAACACAGGCAGCTTGAAACTGTATCTAACAAGTGGCCAAATTCAGTTCTCCAATGCATGCTCGGAGAAAGGAAGAAACAGATGAGATTTCCCCTTGCAAAGACAAAGCTGTCGTGGGTGTTTTTAAGGTGCAGAAGCTGCCTTAAGATGGAGCAACTCCCAAGATTTTAATTAGAACCCAAAACCTTCTGAGTAGCAGAACATCTGCTGATAGATCCCATTTTCAATCCTCTCAAACATACTTCAAGCAAATGAGCGGTCAAGACACAAGGAGTGATACAAGACACTGCTAGAAATGCAAAACCATCCATGGAGACATTAAAACACAAGAGTGCAGCACAGGATGGATCACCAGTCATGCCTGTTGTACCAGAGGTACTCACACTCACCTTAGCAACCCCAACTCCAGTGAACCTGGCCTCCAGTAGCTCCTGCCTTCGTGGGTCCAGGCTATGCAATTCTTCCATCATTTCTGCTGCTAGGGGAGAACAACACTCAGATTATGCAATGCAAGGGGAGAGATTTAACATTCCATGCCACCAACAGGCCTCAAAAGTGCCTGTTCTGCAGCAGAACCACGTGGAAACCATTTTATTGCCAAGAGAAAGGCAAGGTTCCCATGCAGTGATAACATGACTTTGCCACCAGATTATTGTATTTAAGGATAACCCTGCTGGAAAGTTTCCTCTTCTATCTGTTGTACCAGCCATTTCAAGAGCTCTACATCCAAGAAACCAATTATGCCACATTCTCCCACTGGATGCTTTATTAAAATGAAAACATGGGACCAGAGTGCTATGACTAAAAGCTTCAGAGCTTTTCATCTGTGCTGCATCACCAGGAGGGGAAAAACAAACAATAACAACAAAAAAAGGCAGCAACATTCTTTACCCCATCATTCATTTTTGGCCAATCTTGGAAATATTCTATCTCCCCAAACTCCAGATTTCACTGACAACAGTTTTGGTTCTCCCGAGGATTATAAGAAGAAAATGATGCTTGTTTAAACCTTTTGCTTTATCAAGTAAAGCATCAGGTAACTCTGGTGTAAGAGAAATATCTGAGGTTCTATACTCTGGATGTACCTCCTGGCAACCCAACATAATAGATGTTATTATTTGAAGGGTTAAAAAAAACACAACAAAACAACAAAAAGTACAGTTGTGTAAACAGGTTAAAAAAAAATAAATCAGGAAATCCACCGTTTCAATCCTGAACTGTGAAAAAAAATGGGACAAATTTCAACGTTCATTATAACTGTGAATCACATCTTCCCAACTGCACCAATCAAGTTCATTTCCAGAAATGTCTGTTCCAGTTTCATTTTCTGGTCTAAGGTGGGGGGGGGGAAAGAGAGACTGAAGATAAAAATTTGCTGTATAAAGAGCGTATGTGATGAGGAAAGTTCTTGAAGGGCAGCAAGTGCCCTCTAGAATAGGCAGGGTACAATTGTTCCTTTTATGAACTGTCCATTTTGTCCCTGCCATTTCCTCCAAACGCTGCAGATCTAAGTTACAGGGGGCAAAGTGAATCCATCTGGGGGCATTTACAACTGCTCTCCCAAATCAGTCACCAGGCTTAAGAACTAATGGGATACTAACTGCAGTTATTAGAGAAACCTCTTTCTTCTCCAGGCTTTAAAAATCCCAACAAAGCTATCAGCCTAGTTTTCAAAACAGGAAATCTGTGCACGGAGGAAAATAGTTCTTGAAGGGCAGCAAGTGCCCTCTAGAATAGGCAGGGTACAATTGTTCCTTTTATGAACTGTCCATTTTGTCCCTGCCATTTCCTCCAAACGCTGCAGATCTAAGTTACAGGGGGCAAAGTGAATCCATCTGGGGGCATTTACAACTGCTCTCCCAAATCAGTCACCAGGCTTAAGAACTAATGGGATACTAACTGCAGTTATTTGAGAAACCTCTTTCTTCTCCAGGCTTTAAAAATCCCAACAAAGCTATCAGCCTAGTTTTCAAAACAGGAAATCTGTGCACGGAGGAAAATGAAAAAAAAGCCATGAAGGAGAAGGTGTTAAAACACTCTCAGGTCTCTCCTCCATTCCGGGGGCCACCCGGGAGGGAACTGCATCCCCACACCGGGATGTGGGTCCAGGAAAAGGGACTGCCACAAGTTCCCGAGCCTTTCCACCCCCCCTCGGCAGGGCCGAGCTCCCTCCCGGGGCTTGGGGGCAGCCCCGGAGCCCCCTCCATCCCTCCCAGCTGGGGATGCCATTCCCTCCCCGCCCTCCCTGACTCCTTGACGGGGTGATTTTATATATATTTATTATTTTTTTTTACCCCAAACATTTCTGTCCCCGCTCGGGAGACCAAAAACAGGCGTTTCAAACCCAAGCGGTGAGTGAGCAGCCTTGCCCCGCTGCTGCACCGCCTCGGCCTGCCTCCTCCTCC